TTAATATGTTCTAAACAGAGTTTCTAATCACCTCACCCCAGACTACTTGTCCCATAATTGGCCCATCATTAGTAATGGCAACTCCATCCTTTCAGCTACTCAGGCCAAAAGCTCTGGGGTTATTCTTGAAATTTTATCTTTTGTAGCCTGCACTCAATTCTAGAGCAATTTCTGGCAGCGCACCTTTTAAAATAATATTTCCCAAGTGCAAACTCCTGTGACCACTTCAATCCTACTGTCACCTTGGACTAAGCCACCTAATTGTTACAAAAACTTCCTAATTGCTCTCCCTTCTTATACCCTTGCATACCTACAGCCCTGAAATCTGTTCTTATCACAGCAGCTCAGTGGTCAAGCTAAAAATCTAAGTGATGTGTTACAAACTGAATTGCACCCTCCCAAAATTCATATGTTGAAGCCCTAACCATCCATACCTCAGAGAGCTGCTGTATTTGGACACAGGTTTCTTAAACACATAATTAATTTACAATGAGGCCAGTAGGGTGGACCCTAATCCAATGTGACTGGTGTACTTTTAAGAAGAGGAGATTAGGACACAGATATGTACAGAGGGAAGATTATGTGAGGCCACAGAGAGAAGATGGCCATTTAAAAGCCAAGGAGAAGCCTCAAAAGGAAACAACCCTGCTGACACTTTGATCTTGGACTTCTGACATCCAGAAGTGTGAGAAAATAAATTTCTGTTGTTTAAGCCACCTGCCTATGATACTTTGTTATGACAGCCCTAGAAAACAAATATGGATTTTGGTACCTAGAAGTGGAGCACTGCTATAAAAAATACCTAAAGTATTTCACTTAGGCTTTGGAAGTGGGGAGAGGCTGGAAGAGTTTGAGGGTAATGTTACAAAAAACCCTAAATTACCTTGAAGAGATTGTTGGTAGAAATAAGGTTGTTAAAGTTGCTTCTTGTGAGGTCTCAGGTGGAAATGTGGAAAATTTTATTGAACACTGGAGGAAAGGCAATCCTTGTTATAAAGTGGCAGAGAACGTGGCCACATTACACTCCAGTATTCTGTGGAAGGCAGAACTTGTGTATAGTAAACTTGAATATTTAGCTGAGGAAATTTCTAAGCAAAGTGTTGAAGGTCTGATTTGGTTTTTCCTGATTGTTTATAGTAAAATGTGAGAGAAGAGAGAATTTTAAAAAGAAATGGTTAATCAAAAAGGAGCCAGAATGAGAAAATTTGGAAAATTCTCAGCCATATTGCCAAAAATGAGAAAGTATGTTCTGAAGAGAACAAACACCAAGGGTTTGGATGGACATTCATTTGTTAAATAGACTATGGGTGTGACTCATGGAGTCGACCAACCATCTAAGTAGAAACATTGCCAGCTTGGACTAAAGGGGACAGGGGCAAGGACAGGAGGAAATGAAGGAAGGCTATTGTACTCCTGAGATTTTACTGGATAGATGAATAGAGCTATCCAGCTGCAAACATGTATTATCTTTCAAGAGAGGGGAAGGATGACCCTGAAGATGATACAGAGATAGGAAGGGCTGCCACTGCTATCACAGGCCCAGAGGGCACTGATTGGGGGTTGGAGAAGGTGAGGCTATCATCTCAGTCCCAGAGGGTGGAAACCACATCCTCAGTTTCAGCAGAGCTGGCTACTGCTTCCCAGGGCCACATGGGGAAGGGTTACCCCTACAGTGAAGCCAGAAGGCAGGGCCACCTCCCTGTTGGGCCCAGAGGACAGGGAATGGAGCCAAAGAGGATTATTCTTTTTTTGTCTTCCTTGGGTGGAGAATTTCTTTTTTTTTCTAAAGATTTTTATTAAAATATAGCTACCATACAATATTATGTTAGATATAGGCATACAACATAGTTATTCAATATTTATATACCTAATGAAGTAATCACTGTGATAAGTCCAATAATCATCTGACATCATACCAGGCTATCACAATATCCCTATGGTGTACATTACATGTCCATGACTTATTTTTTATACCCCTTCACCTTGTCCTTCCCTTTTTAATTTTTCAATTACAGTTGACATTTAATATTATTTTATATTAATTTCAGGTGTACAGCATAGTGGTTAGACATTTATATAATTTAAGAAGTGATCCCCCTGACTAGTCTAGTACCCACCTGGCACTATACATAGTTTATTACCATATTATTGACTATATTCCCTATGCTTTACTTTACATCCCCATGACTATATTTTAACTACCAATTTGTACTTCTTAATCCCTTTACCTTTTTCAACCTGCCCCCCAAACCTCCTCAGTGAGTCAGTCCATGCGTGGGCCCTTTAAGAGAATTGTCCCAGCCTCTAGCTACCCTCCATGTCACCCAGCCACAATCTCTGTTGGTTTTCACAGCCAGGCATCATGGGAACTTCTCTTCCCAGCTCTGGAACCCTAGGTTGGGGAGCCTGGTGTGGGGCTGGGAACCCTTGCTCTTCAGGGGAGATCTCCACAGCCCAGATATCCCTCCTGATTTTTAACGGTCACACACGGGTGTGGGGCTAGCCCATTCCACATCTCTGCCCCTCCTACTAGTCTCGAGGTGCTTTCTCTCTATGTCCGTAGTTGTAGGGCTTCAGCTCAGCTAGACTTCAAGAGGTTCTCAATGATGGTTTTTCCGTAGTTTACTTATAATTTTGATGTGGTCATGAGAGGAATGAGGCACAGTGTTTACGTACTCTGCCATCTTGATTGGAAAATCTAAGAGAGTTATTCTTGAGCCCTAAAATCTAATGGAATTCTTGGTAGGCTTTGGAATTGCTGGGGATCTGTAAACTTTTTCTGATTTCTCCCTTTTGGAATGGGAATATCTATCCTATACCGTTGTGTTTTAGAAGCAGATAACTTGTCTTGTTCCATAGTTTCACAGCTGGAGAGGAATTTTGCTTCAGAATAAATCATACCTTGAGTGTCATATACCCCTTTTAGATAATATTTAGATGAGAATTGGATTTACAGTTGGTGCTGGAACAAGTTAAGAGTTAAGACTTTTGAGGGTGTTGGGATGGGATGAATATAATTAGCATATGAGAAAAACACAAATTTGGTGGGCACAGAGGGTGGAGTGTTATGGACTAAGTTGTCTCCTCCCCCAAAATTCATATGCTGATGTTATAACCCCCAGTACTTTAGAATGTGACTATATTTATTTGGAGATAGGACATTTAAGATGTAATTAAGGTACAAAGTGGTTATATGATGGTACCTAATCCAACATTACTGGTTTCCTTGTAAAAAGAGATTAGGACACAGACAATACACAGACTGAGAGATGATCATGTGAGGACACATCAAGAAGACAGACACTGCAAGCCAAGGAGAAAGGTCTGAGGAGAAATCTACCCTTCTGGCACCTTGACCTTGGACTTCTAGCCTCTAGAACGCTAAGAAAATAAATTCCTCTTGTTTAAGCTACCCAGTCTGTGGTATTTTGTTATGACAGCCCTGGCAACTAACATATAAAGTGATAAAATTCCTCTCCTTCAAACTTTCCAATAGCTCTTCATCTTCCTGAGAGTTCTCACAGGGGTCTAGAAAGTCCATAATCTGGTTTCCAGATCCCTTGTGGGGGAGTGGAGTGTGAATGTTGGAAAGACCTCAATCACTAGAATCTTAAAGCCTCCTGATCATTTTTTAAAGGACTAGTTGTACTCTCCAAGGCCAATAGTGCCACTGACCTGATACACTGTTCACTGGACAGCATATAAAAGTGTACTGAGTTTTTTCCTTTCTAACTTCTCATTTTGTATTTTCACTTAGGGCATTTTCATTTGGTTAACACGTTTTTTCTTAACATGTGTCTACATTATTGATTAAACTTCAGAGCCACATAAACCTTGGATAAATTATTTAAACTATATGAGTCTTAATTTCCTCAAATATAAATTGAGAATAATAATAATATATATTTTGTAGAGTCACTCATTATTTAGTCAGTAAATATGTATTGAATACCTGGTTGGTTCCAGGCACTATGCTGTGAAGATAAAATTAGGTAAAATATATAAAGCATACCACTCACAACTTGGTTTTATATTAGTTGCTCAATAAATAATATTATTATTGATTTATCATTATTTTTATTATTATTAATGTTATGATGGAAATCTAATTGTGCTTTTAATCTGAGACATGTTTTATATTTTTAATGTGGTTTTTGCATAGATGATCTCATTCATTATTTGCTAATTTTCTAGTTTAATCCTCATAATCTTGAAATTCCACATTCCTTAAAAGAGTTTATCTCTCTTCTACTCTTCACATTCAAATTTCTTGGAAGAGTTAGCTACACTCCCTGTCTCTATGTACTCATCTCCCACTTAATCTTCAACATGCTAACATGCCCACTTTTCACCTTCATTACTCCCCAAAACAAGTTTATCGTAGGTCATTTATGACCCCTTGCTGCTTGTATTAGTCTGCTGGGGTTGCCATAACAAAATACCACAGACTGAGAGACTTAAAAAACAGAAGTTTATTTTTGTACAATGTTGGTGGCTGAAAGTCCAAGATCAAGCAAAGTTGGTTCCTCTTGAGGCCTCATTCCTTGGCCACCTTCTCCCTGTGTCTTCACATGGCCTTTCCACTGTGTGCATAAATCACTAGTGTCTTTCTCCTCTTATAAGGGCTCCAGACATATTGGATTAGGGCCCCACCCTTATGACATCACTTAAACTTAATTACTTCTTTAAAGGCTCTATCTCCAAAAGAATAGTTACATAATGCATTAGGGCTTCTACATATGAATTTTGGGGACTATAATTTAGTCCATAATAGGCTAAGTAATTTTTTTCTTTGCTTATTTTACTTGACTTTACATGAGAATTCAAGAGTATTATCTACACTTACCTTCTTGAAACCATCTCTTCTCCAGATTTCTGCAATCCCCATATGCTCCTAATTTTTCTCATTCTCCTGAGCACTTCTTGGAGTCCCATTTTCACTCACTAACAATTAAATGTTGGAGTTCCTTAAGACTTTGACCTTGATTCCTTCGCATCTCACTTTACACTGTACTCTCTCTCTATGTGAGCTCATCCATCCACGTGGCTTCATCCCACACAGAAGACTCACAAAGTTTTGTTTTTTTTTCCTGTGGATCAGAACTGTTGACTTGACCTCTCCATGCATTTACTTGCTCCTCCCTGGAATATAACAGACATTGAGAAAATCACAGTGTTAGTGCTATTTTGTTTTCTGTTCAGAATGGTTGTTGTATTGAAACACATTTACCCTATAAAATCACTTCTCATTCCACTGAACCATCACACTCACGGGGGGAATTTCCAGGGTAATCATCTCAGATGAACTTGTGTGGCCCTTTATAGAACTGACCCACATGTGTAGCTCCTCTTGACATCAAGGTGGCAGGGACTAGGGGAATTCCAAGCTGCAGAGTACATAAAAATAATTTTTTAAAGTTAACTGATAACCATCTACAGTGCAAGCATTCTGCAACTCTGTCATTTATAATTAAGGACTCTGATGCTATTACACCACACACTGCCAGTATGGAAGAGGGGGATTTTTTTAGTTTGAGCTGAGTTGTTCATTTGCTGTGCTATGGTTAACAGTTTCAAATATTACAACTTTCTAGATTTTAGATATAATTATACAGTTCCTGAGATAATACATTACTAATTATTACTAATTAGAAAAGAAAGAGATAAAGCCAAATTATTCACAAAGAACACATACATTGAACATTTGTACCAGGAATCAAGCATTGTGCAGAAAGAGAGAGAGAGAGAGCCCTGATGATGGGAAGGCCCAAAAGACAAGTCCTCAACCTCACCAGTGTCATGAATATACCAGGGCCAACCTGTTCATTCCACTCAGAAAGACTCCGCGAGCACCTTGGACACACACACCTTATGGCCAGCCTCAGAACAGACCCTGCATATGTCGGTCCAGAGGCAGCCTTACTCTACTTTTGACTTAGATACACAATTCTTACCTTCCAAGTTCCTTTCACCAGAAACTATTTAAAAACACACATTTTATGTCTGTCCTGAGGTAAGTTAGCATTAGTGATAACTGTATCAAAACCTCCAACTGAATATTGCTCAAGGGCATCTAACGTATCAAGTGTCACATAATTAACATATCTGTATTTATGTTTTATATTCTGTCAAAGACTCTAACTCAGAATAGTTTCAGTAGATATTGGTTAACTCTTTCTGGGATCTTTGGTTTGTCCCTTTCTGACTAACATGTTTAAATTTTTTTTTAATATTAAAAATCTTCCATTCCTTAGGTGATGAAAAGTTCCGTGTGTAACCTCTGTCCACTTTGAGTAATGTAATCTCACCAACCTTATCTAAATCTTTAGGATAAAGATAAATGGAATTTCAGCACAAGCTCCCCAACAAGTGAAAAGAAAAATATCCTAACCACTAGGAATAATGGAGAAACACATACCTTATGTAATTTATCTTTGAAGAAAAAATAAACAACTTCACTCCATTTCAAGTGGAGTTAAGTGGATTCCAGTAAAAGGTAGATTAACTGTGCTGTAATGATTTGCTCCTTCCATGCCTGTCCCATTTCCTATATGAATGTCTGTGTATTTTTCCTATATGTAAGGCCCTCACTAAATTCAAAAGGAACTCAGGGAAGTGAACACTTTCAAGCAAGAGGAAATGAGAGGGAGGTGAAAAATGTACTCCTGATTTCAGCTGAACTTACCCAGATGGCACAAATTTTAAAAAGGAAAGTGACAATTTTGACCTTAGAAAGCAGCAGAGCAGTAAGAAAAGTTAACTTGAGCTCAACTCCAATTTCCTCTTTGATGACTAAATAAATGCTAAATTACTTTGTAAATATTTTTAAATGACTGGTTTTGGAGTGGGAGCAGTGAGGAAAGAAAGGGAAAAAAAGGTTAACTACCACACATAAAACAACCAGCTCACACAGCCTATGGCCAATTTTTACAGCTGGATTTTTACAAACTCCTTGAAGAGTTGAGAGAGGGACAAGTTTATGATGTTACCATGGCAGTACTGTAGCTTTTTGACAAAATATTGTGACACTGAAACAGATGTACGACGGGAAGACAGGCATAGTGGTTGGGACAAGTATGAAAGAATTTAAGACCTTCACTAAATATTTCAGTGAAGAATGTCTCACCGAACTGTCACTGGATTTAATTAGCTAGAGAGTGAGAGGTGAAGGGTTAATCCAAGGTCAGTGTGGGGGGAAAATGAAGCCTGTGAACATGTAGCTATTTGATATTTGCTGAATGCCACACTCTAGTCAATTAGAATAGTAATTAGCACAGTGCGGGAAAGAATGGTCACTTAGGTTTTTTAAGTCAATTGGATATGATGGGGTTCAATTATTTAATTTCCATATGCATTTCTCTAATTTTTTTTCTGTCAATCCAGTCATTTCTTCTGAAATGTTGAAAGTGACTCCCAAGTGAATAAGACACATACTTCGATTTTCAGTGAGAAACAATATGATTAAACTCAATTAAAAGCAATTAAATTTTGTTTAATAGTGTTTGATGTCTATTTACCTGTTTAGACTACTTCAATTTTTTTTTTCTTATTCACAGGGGAAAAAAACTGTTGGGCTGTCATCTTCTTTTTTTTTTTTCATAGAATCCATAACAAGCTTGTTTGTTTGAGTAGAACAAATTTTGAACTCTGTCTAGAATAAGGGAAGATTTGTCAGGCATATTGAGCACTTCAAGCATTCATTAGTTGATTCAACAGATATTCCTCGAGCATCTCGTCTGGGCCAGGCATTGTGCAAGGCATTGTGTTCCCACTAATCATTAGGACAGAGAGTCCTTGTCTTCACAGAGTCCAGTGGGTTGGGACCCAGAACAATGGCATCTCTTCAGAGAAAGCTGTCTGGTAGGCAGAGGGTATTCTTAATCTACTAACCAGAAGAATGACTAAATTGTGAGTCACCTTTGCAACAGACCTGAGTTATAGAGAGGCTAATTGATTTGTCAAAGATAACCAGCCATGTTAATATACACAGACACACTGAATAGTCCTCTGATTTCGATTATCCGACTTAACCACTATATGGATGCTCCACAGTGTTTCTCGTAAAAATTTCACATGTATATACTTTTACATCATATCAAAAACACATTTTGGCTTTTTTTCACTTTTAAGAATAGTAATAACATGACTTTACATACACAAAGTGAGTAATTTAGTCTGGCTTGAGTGGTGTGAATGAGCAAATATCTCCTAGTTACCACTGATGTAGTAGGGAAGAGAGAGGAAAACCAACTAACTTTAGCAAAGTAAACTCCCAGAGGGTCCTGAGTAATATTAAGATGCAAAGTAAGCATGAGCCAATATTAAATCATGTTTTCAGGTTAGACACAGACATCATTCAAGCTAAGTTACACTCCAGAAAGCACTGGACAAGTCCAACTGCACTGATAACTGTGAAAGATATAGCAAGGAGCTCTATTTAGCAATGGGCTTAGAGGGAATGACCAAAGATTAAGGATAAACCTTGGGGAATACTGCATCCTCTTCCAGCTGCTCTTCCAGGACTGACCTTGGAGCTTACAGGCCTGACAGCTGTGAACTTTAGCAGTGTGGCAGTAGATACGGCAGTTTCTTTACCCCTACCCCACAGCTCATGCAGTTCATCCAGCTAAAATGCGTTCACGGAATGGCTGTTCTGTAGCAGTATTGACTGGATGCTAAAGATGCAGTCTTAGACAAGAAAGACACTGGCCTGTGTAGTTCAGAATTGGTATGGGGGTGGTGGGAGGGGGAGGTGCACTGGTGGTCTGGGCATTTCAGTAAACTGAGTTTGTAATTGCATCGAGGTGTGTGAACTTTGCCCTGATCCCACTGAAGAGCTCTGTCGTCAGGCAGATGCAAGGACAAGGACCTCTACTCCATGAAATCAGGGGTGGCTGACACAAAAGGGAAAGTACCTTGGAGGTCCCTGCCTACCCAGGATTCTGCATGTGGCAAGAAGTCACCGAGGGATGTGGTCAGGGTCCCAGTGCCCTCTCTGTCCTGTCCTTAGATGCTCTGCATTGCTCTCCTAGCAGCTACTCAGGGCTGTTAAATGGGTGCAGTCCAACTGGCAATGGCATTCATCTTCTACCTCCCTTGATTGCTCAAAGCCAAACACTCCTTGGGAAGCTCCTCTTCTGCAAATAGATGTAGGAGCCCATTGACATGTGTGTCTATGTCTGGAAGAGACATTTGAAAGAACAAGAACAGGGGACACAGCACTCATGGTTAAATAACAAATTTTCGTGGGATTTTTAGTGGATTGCCTCATAAATTCTCAAACTAAACTGACACTTTGACAGGAGACCAAATGAGTCCAGGTCCTGTGCTGCCTGTGCCGCTCAGCCAATAGGCTGACACAGGAGTTGGGTCATAGAATAAGTGTTTATTATCAGAGCACCAGTGGTCTGAGAAGGCAGTGGTTTAACACCTCCAAAAACTGCTTTACCGTTCTTAGACCGGCTTGGGGTTTTCAAGGGAAAATCTGGGCATTCCTCCAGAGGCTACGTGTTGCTGCCAGGGGTCTGCATGGAGCCTTTCCTGTGGCCACGTGATTCTATGGTGGAGTCAGCAACCCAGGAACAATGATGGGATTAGCCTGGTAGACCATTGAGATTGTGATCAATAAGCTTAAGGGTATTAATCATAAGTTTCAGGGCAATTTTCTAAAACAGGGAACTGGGTGGGACAGGGGACATTCCAAGCTTAAGCCACAGGGATGATCTACTGTTAAACTATAAGTAGGTCAAGGAAAGGTGAGGCCAGGAATGTGGAGAGGCCTCTACTATGGGGGTGCTAACCAGGCCCTGTTTCAATTCAACTCATTCTTATTGACTCATGTATGTTCATCTTCCACTCCAAGAGTAGGTCCACTTAATTTGAACGAGTTGAAAGCAAAACAACATTAAAAAATTTGCTTAAAAAGAATGACTATCATTGCTACATCCTATTTAAAACCAGTTTTGGAATTGGTTGTTTACTCCTAGAAAGAAAAGATGTAGGACACCAGTTGAGAAGTATACATGTTTCTGTGATGTGAAAAGTCAATGACACAGTTAATCTGTTTCACTTACCCTTGGTTAGCCAGGCAATTATCACCCTGTTTGTAGGAAAAACACTTCCATGAATATAACTTTCTTCCTGTAAAGTCAAGTAGAATGATTGCTTGAATGTGCTTAGTATCTCTTAAAGTTATAAATGTGCACACAGCATAAAAGAAAAGCAATTTAAGAAAATACTGACCATGGAAATTCAAAGCCATTGAGATTTTCTTGAAATCTACCAAAAAAGAAAACAAAAGTGAGGTTGAATTTGTATTTCCTATTGAGAAAGCAAATAACAAGTAAGGGTTGCCACTAAGGCCTGCAATGTTGATAACCATTTATTT